TTTAATCTGTTGCTCATTATCACTGTATGTATAGGGAACAGTGCTGTAGATTACAGAACAACTCAAATCAATTTTTCCTCAGAGATAAAAATCAGAGTTGGTGACATGAACTGTTTCCATTTGAATGGCTTGATAAAATCATGGTTCAGTGGAGCAAGCTGCAGAAATTATGAATAATTTAATTCCTGTTAGTGGTTGTAGAGAAGATTAAAAAAATGCCACATATCTTGGAGTATCGGAAGTAAGTATGACAGTGTAAATGTGATTAGTGTGGTCATTTAATTTTGGGGACTTTTTTACCACATTACAAGCATGACTACTCAATTTCCTCTCTGTAGTTGATGCTTCCCTACCTGCCTTAATCTGAAAAGTCTCTGAGTCACTGGAGGCTGATATCACAGTGTTAATGTGCACTGAGACGGATGGCATGGATGTCTAGCAGTAGTGTTTTTTATATGGATTTACCGAAAGCAGTTAAATTTACATGCCGTGTAAGACTTTACAGGTGGGTGCTCGCAGTTCAGAGTTTTGGTGAACTGTGAGACCATCCATCAACTGGAACACCTAAGTTCAACCTCACCTGACAGTCCAAGTGTCCTTGAATGGCAGAGTGAGTCTTTATTAGCTCTGTAGTTGACGCTGATTTGATGTTTGCACTGATCTTCCTATATCAATATAAATCACAACATTTTCTTTTGAGGGTTAATAAGATTAAGAGTTAATTCTGCAGCTTTATCACAAGTCACACATGCACAGGCGTTCAAATTTTAAGTGCAACATGGTGGGTTGGCAGGTCATTGTGCTGCTTTGTGTTTCCTATACAGACATCAGAACAACTTTTTTTTGCTGAACCTTTTATCCCAGTGGGTGAAGAGCTTCAAGACTGACTGATGGTCAGATTGTTTCCATCTAATATCGGGTTGATTAGCCTGGATTGAGTGTTAAATGAGATGGGACAGGCACTTAGTTACTGATTAGACCTGCCAGCATCACTGTCTGTCCGTGTCTAATGACTGATTGGGAAGAGAGTACTTACTAGTGTCTTCCTCCGTTAGTGGAACTTCATGTGAGGTCTTCAGTAGCAGAAGGAGCTTTGCAGTCTGTGCTTATGATACATGACATGTTCAGGAAATCTCTGTGGGCTTTTAAGGAAACATAAAAATCTTGAACATATAGACAACTTATGGAAAAGCTCAGGCAAAGTTAACCTTCCCCTTCCAAACTACGGTGGCCGTGAAACGCTTGAAAAACGCAAACGCCCCTATTTAGAGCGAATGTTGGGTTTGTCGGTTCTGCGTTATCAAAGAAATATGGCAGCTCAACATGGCAGACTCTATGGAAGGCAACCCATTGCATCTGTAGATAAAAAAAACAGGTACAGCGAGCCGGGTATCTTAGCTTAACAAAGACTAGAAATGGTAAACAGCTACCCCATGAAACAACTACAACCTGTCAGGTTCTAATGTGTTACTTTGTGACTTTTAGAGATGCTTGGAGGTGGATTTTGTTACCTTCAGACATGTGGACAGAATGGCTGTAACCTTATATTTTTATGGAAACGTATGACAGTGGTATCAATCTTACACAAACCCTAGCCTGAACCCTCATCCAACTTTCAGCAAGAAGTGTTTTTCCCCAAATGTCTGACTGTTGCTTTAAAACTTATTCTTGACTAGTGGGTCCTAATTGAAGTAGTAACTTAGGTGTAAGTGCGAATTACAGCAGGAAAGTACACGATTTGTTGCCAGAATACCACAATTCTGATCTATTATCTACGTATTCCTGCATCCCTATTACCATATAATAATATTAAAACGTGAAAGGATGACAGTAAATGATTGCTGACTCACTATACTTCAATTTGAAAATGAGTTATTGTCAATTTTGGAACATTCAAACATTTATTCTCTTTTATCTTGTAGACAAATATCATGAGTCAATTTTGTTGTTTTCTGGAAAAAATATTGGGTTGATTTTGCTGTAATTTTTCAAAACATCCAGAAAAGCCAATGCAGAATACCTTAACATCTATTACAGTAATTCATACCCATCATCAAAGCATTTCTGACTCACATACACAGTAGCTTGAATAAAGTTTGAAAGCAAAAAGTGATGGAGCTAACTGTTAAGAATGGCCCAAGGCAACATGTTGGTGGAGATGTTTTTGAAATGCAGAACCAATATCGAGGTAAGAAAGATTACGTTGGGCTACAAGGAAGACAGCGATAAATAGGAAATCTACTAAAATTACTTGTTAGCTAGTTGAGGTCCACTACTTGACAAACAAACTGCTAGCCTAATTGTGCTATAATCAATAGATTCATGTAGAAGTTGTCATTATTATCATGCACTGATTTTATATAGTGATCAGTTAACCGAGTGAGTGGTTCAAATGTAAGTTAATGCCATTTGCTTTGGCAGGACCTCATGTTATTATGCAGACACCTTAACTTCCAAAAAAGGATCAAAGGTCAAGTTTGACCTCAGTGTTTTTTGTAGATAAAAAACTTATTAAAAACACAAAGAATTGCCACATTTCTAATATTCTGTTGCATCCATTTAGGTGGACAACAGGGCAATATATGTACTGTGTATATACCTTATTTTGACTTTCTTACACTAGATTCATAGACGGATAAGTTACTTACCAGACAAATGTTGAGAAAAACTAATCAAAGTAAAAGTACAGTATCAGTAGGCTATATACTTTCAGTAAAAATAACCTACCCACATGTTTCTAAAAGGGTAACTGTGGCCATTAATGAGGTTCTATTTAGATTTTCCATATTTACACTGATATCGCCTTTGAGCTTTGTGAGATTCTGACTGCTGCTGTCATCCTTGTTATCAGTCCGACTCTTTTGTTCGGGATTTTTGTTGAATCTTGCGCTGCTTTGTTCTGATAAGAACATTTTATCACAAAAAAACCCTCCATACTAAAAGCCATTTTTGAATGTTAACTGCTATCCGATAATGTGAATTTACATATAAAATACACAGGTAATCTGTGTATAATAATATTATATCTTGATATTGAACTGAGACTTAATCGTATCTCCAGTGGCTAAAATGAACAGCCAGCGTTCAAGGACAATTCATTATTTAGTACAAAAAGAAGCATGGTTAAAAAAAAATGTTTTAAATTAGGAATTTGGAACACTCCACTGCTCCTTTTCTCTCCAACTTGGCTCCCCAACAAACCTCCTCCTCTCCACACTCCTCTCCACAGTCGCTGCCTTTCATTATTCAGAATTGCACAGTAGGAAGAGAGAGAGAGCTCAAATCAGAGAATTTTACTCCTTAATGGAGAATTAAGTACGATTACAGTCCTGTAAAACATATTTATGTGCATTAAATATCTGCAGGGGGTCATAGCTTTATTAAATAATACCAATAAGTTAACAATTACTACAGCAGATACTGGAATTTCTGGCTTTTCAGTACCACTTTTAATACCCACATAATCTACACCCACTGCAATATACCTCCCACTTACACTGTCAGCCCTCAGCAACTGAAAACAATGCTACGAGTGAGTGACAAGCCATTTCAGACTCGTCTCCAGCCAGAAAAGCAAATATGACGGCAGTTTTACTTTTCCTGCATTCTCTTTTTTACTACATATTTTCTAATTGATTCCCGCTCTCACTAACAAGCTCACTATACTCCTTGGGGAAATTGCATGTTATTGTTTGTGACAATTAGAAGCTATAATGAAATGCAGTAAAAGACGAGGAAAGAAGGAAGCAGAGCCAGATACTTTGTTTGAGTGCGGGATATCAGTTCTCTCTGCGTGGTTGCTCACAGCCAGAGAGTAGTAACATAATAGGAAAGTTAATTTTCTGTGCATTTGCATTTTGTGTGCATCTGAATTCAGTTTTGTTCTTGCATTAACAAGTCTATATTTGCAGCAAGTATATAGATAGATGTATGTATATATGTATATGTATCTATATATATCCTCAAAGACTGAATCTGCACAACCCTGCCCCTTTCAATCCGATCCCTGCTCCTCTTGCAGGTGGTGAGACCGATGAGTCCTGGTTGCTCTTTCAGGTGAATGCAGTCAAGCTACAGGAAGTGTAGTGTGATTAATCAGTTAAACTATTCTTCGAGTTACAGATTTATTCACCAACACTTTTCAGTTATCAAGCAGTAAACGCCTAACATTTTCTGGTTTTAGTGTATCAACTATAAGGATTTGCTTGTTTTATACTATTGCAAATTTAATTACTCTAAGTTTTGGGTAATCAAACAGTTTGAAAACGTTGCCTCTGGGAATTTATGGTGGGCATTTATTACAATTGGTTGACATTTTATAGACTAAAACATTAATTGATTAATCAAAGAAAGTCAACAAGTATGACAGAGATTGTTAGCCCTTACAGAAGATCATCCAGGTTCCACTACCAGGCTTGGCTGTGGCAACCATTAAGGGAGCCTCCAGTCCACCGCTCCTTGGTTGACTGACTGGGAGGAGACCCAAGGGAGGAGACCCAAGGGTAGACCTAGGACACAATGCTGGGAATGAATCTTCTAGCTGCTCTGGGAGTTCCTGGGATCACCCAGAGGGAATTTGCCAAAGAAAAAGGTCATTTGAGCTGTTCTGCTTGTCCTTTTCCACTCAAATATGGATGGAGGATGACTGGCTATAAACTAGAGCTGCTTTTCAAACTCAGCTTCTCAAATGTAGCGATTTTGACAAACATGATCCTTTGCTCATCTGTTGCTTTCTCATAGCACAGCTACCTCACCTCATCTACTATTCTGTCTTTATTATTTTATATAGACATGAGGAAGTCCAATTAAGTGTCATCAAGCCTTTGAAATGTTATAATCTGTGATAACAATACACTTTCAAGCTGTAGGTGATCGGTTCTCATCAATACTTCCCTTAGTACTCCTGCAGTAATAACATATATGGTGTAATAAGTAGAAATGTCATCAGTGCATTTCTGTTATTATCACATTGTGACTTCTTTATGTTCCCATCTTTCCAGAGTGAGCAGCTGTGAATCCTGAGAGGAGAAGTCTCCCAACAGGAGACAAGATGGCGTCCAACAACACCCTGCGCAGCTACTCTATCATCCCATGTTTCATCTTTGTAGAGGTGAGAGGCTGTGTGTGTGTGGGAGTGGGTATGTGTGTGTGCTGCACAAATTCAAATGATTATCTGTGCTTCTGTACAAAGTGTAAAATTCATGCTTATGTGAATTTGGGGGAATGCACATGATGAGTGTGTGTGTGTGTGCGTGTGTGCGTGTGTGTGTGTGTCTGTGTGAGAGTGACAATTTAACCATTAGCAAATGACCCCTTCTGGTAAATTATACACAGTTAACCAGAGCGTAAAGCGTTGGAGTGAGTGGAAAGCTGAATGTGTGTGTGTGTGTGTTTGTGTGTGTGTAAGAATTGTGCTGCTCCTCCATATTTAATTACCATGTCAGCTGAAAGTCCTTAATCAGAGCGATGTCTCAGGACGCCTTGCATTACTCTCCCCTCTCTCTCTTCATTTTTCACACTCTCACACACGCTTCTGTGAGGAAATATCCTGCGCAACAGTCTCAGATGAGTTTACTCTCTGCCTCTGCCTCTCCTTTTATCTCATGCCTTCTTCTTCACTGACCTTTGTGTCATATTCTGTGACAACCTTCCATCATAAGGCTCTTAAATTAATATAACTGTCTGCTGTGCTGGTGTATGTCCTCAAAGACAAGTGACAAGTGAATTTTATATCATCGCTTCCCATTTGATTTGTGATGCTCTACCTTGCTGCTTTTGGAACAGCCTCATGGCGTATTGTCTATTTTTTGCTGTAGTACTTGTTATGTAAGTATCACACTGTTGTTCTGCTTGTCTTTTCACATCAGTGACATTAACTCAACACACCCCCAGTTATTGATTAGTCAGATATCAATATACATTATTGATATTTTAATACCGGACCTTTATGTCATTGAACAAGGAGAGAGGAGCAAATATCTGCCTCCGGTTGTGAGATTATTTTTATTCTAATTTGCAAAACGTTCTGTTTAGACACATTAAAGCTTAAGTTTGCACTTGAGCTCTGCAACACCTCTCCTCATCTGAAATAACAGGCAGATGGGTCAGGGAAATGAGTTTTGAAAGATTGCACGTCTGTGAGCTGAGAGGTACTTAACCCTCCTGCATGCCAGCTTGACACGACTTGAATGGTACATGTCGCACGTTCTATTCTTATTTGTGTTGTGAAAAAGTCAGACATATATGCTGTGATTGCCGTATTAGAAATCCAATTTGTGTCAATTAATATGTCACTTCTACTCCCACGCAGCCAGACATGAACTATCATATGAGAAATCTCCCTGTGCAGCAAAAACATAGTGGATACAGACACATTTCAAGCCTCATCCTCCTTTTAAAATGTTTTTTTGAATTGTGACACATGATTAATCATCACAAAGTCCTTCAGCTTCTGTAGAAAGTCCTTCTGTTGGACAACCTGTCATCATTGTACAGCAATTCGCTCGTTTACAGCAAGTGTCTTGGCTGGAACTCAGCGTGACATGCTCAGTTGGACATTGCTAATCATGGCTGTGCAATTTGTTTAATTAGGATGTGTAACTAGAGGGGAGCTAATAGGTAACTAATTATTATTTTGGTGACAGATCAGCATCTAGGTGGCTCACTCTGAGCTCTATATTCAGCAGTACATACACAGCAGTGCTGGAAATATGGAAGAATTTTGGCAGACCTTATCAGTGCTGTTTCTTACAAGCTGGTCTAGGTATGGAAGCTTCCTGTTCTGAAAAAAATGATTTCATGAGTAATTGAGTTTGGTTTGAAATATGAACAGCAATGTGTTATTTGGCCTTAAAGTTGAAATAACCATCTTTTGAGTTTCCCAACCATCTTCTTCTCATTTGGATTTAGCATTTTCTCAAATAATAATAGTGACACTGAGTCAGTATGAACTCTCAGACTGTAAAATGTCTTTGTTGTTTCTGAAGAAAAACCATCAAATTTAGATGATCAGTTTTAATCCAGATTTGCTGTAGAATATTACCAACTTTAGCTTGTTCTCATCTGTCGGAGACATCACTGTTACCATAGCAACATTTGCATCTTCAAAGTCGTTCATCGCTGGTAACTAAACCAGAGTGAAGCAAATCAGCAAGCAGCTGTTATTGGTTATTGATGAATCTCCAGCAGGAGATGAGAGAATTAAAATCATTACAAGTCCCAGTAATGGCTGCTATATTAGTTAATCATGTCAGTTCGTATCACTGTGGAAGATGAGGGGAAAGGGAAACAGTTAGAGTGTAGTTCACAATTTCATGAGATTTGAAAATTGCTCCCCATTAAATAAAGATTATGAGTGTAGCTTTATACCCTTGCATTTTTCGCATCCTCATTTTTTATATCTACTTGAATCTGTTGTTATGAGCTTAAGATGTGAACTGGTAACTGACAGGTTCACTTCAAATCTGTTTTTAAAGGGACTCATGGAGTTCAGTTTACTCATCAACACAGTGTCATTCAGCCTGTGACAGTTGTATAAGGTCCTCTGTGTCTCTTTAGGGACCTTTTGAAAGTCTGAAAAAATAACCCAGACAATGTCATCAGGGTTATCTCTGCTCCGGCTTGGAGACTACAAGGTCTTAGCAGAAAGCCTTCATTACAAACTTGGGACATGGAGTTTTTAAGACCTGAGTGTTTACCAGACAGGGAATATCTACTGATCCTGTTGAGTTGCATTGTGGGAAATGTAAGATCTAGTGTTTTTGCTGGGTTAACCCATTCTTGAGATTCAAATTCAGGATTTCTCAGCCTCTGCTGCTTCGATTTAGACCACTCTTTCTTACAAATCTATCAACTTTATGGGAGTGCAATACTAAATTATATGAGTGCAACTTTAATATGGTTGAAATCAAGATTAATAACAGTATTTTTTTATTGGCATTTATATCCCAATAAGTATATAGGTACAAGCACATGTAATGATGGTAATGATGAAATGGATGTTCAATTCTATGAACAGTGTTCTACTCTACATCAGACAAAACTATTAAAATGTGTAATGCAATCCATTCAATTGCTCATTTAAGTCATTTTAATCACCAAAGTGATTGAAATCATTGATTTGTACAGCAAGTTTGTAAAATAATAGTGCAATATGATACCATTGAAAGTCCATTAATGATAATGTAGCAATGACACCCAGCCCTGTGCTGTTAAAGTTCAAAATGACTCCACATAAGTTGATTTTATAACACTTTTATCTTTTAACTTTCATGATCTATGACTTTAAATTGTATTTTACATCACAATCTAAAATCAAAATACCAAAAATATATCACACCATGTATATTTTCTCCATGTTGCAGCAGAGCATAGGCAGAGTGTTCCTGAGAGAGACACAGCCCATTGAGTAGCGAGCTTTCTTTAATTTTTATTACTCTGTTTTCACTTACTCCCCCTCTTCTTCTCCCAAAGGCCTCCTATCCATCTCCCTGTCTCTCCCTGCCTGTCCCTGTTTTCTCTTTCTCTCCCTCTTTGATGTCTCTGTCACATCCTCACAGCCTCGTTTCTCTCTCACCCCTCCTCTCTCTGCAGAACCTGCTTCCTCCCTCTATCTCTTCCCATTTCTCATGTTGTCACATTAGCTCTTCCTTGCCTTCACCTTCCTTATCCTCCTCTCTATCGCTCCATCTTGTTGCGCCTCACAATTTCTTTCTTCTCTCTTTATTTTTTTTGCCCTCTTTCTCTTACTCACCTCGCCTGTCATGAACGGAGCAAGGCAGAGGGACAGTAGTGCCATCACATGACTGAAACAAAGCATCCTGATTGGAGCAGCTTGGCTGTGTAGTTCAGTGCCAGGGGCAGTGTGACAAGAGGGATGGTTATTTATGGTGATTTGTTTATGTAGTCATGTAACTTGTTGCTTTTCCTCCATCCGTTACTGTAATATCAAGATGATCATTTGTTGATGCCATCTTCTATTACTGTGCGAGTGACTATGCAAAGGAAAAACAGACTATGAGATGAAAGGGAAAAAAAAGTATAGGATGAGAGGACTGGGATGGAGTTCAACAGGAAGATGGGACACAATGGAGGCGAATGAAAGATGAGATGGTGAAGATGAAGAAAATGCAAGAGCAGGGAAGGAAGTGAAAGGTTGCAAAAATCACGAGATATTAATTAAAAAGGCAGAGCTGTAGAGGTGAGCAGTGAAGAATGAGGAGAGAACAGATATATCCTGTACCTCCCCCAGAAGAGATTATGTAATACACAGAGCCCCAGGCTTTGAATAATATAACTAGGACCACCTAGACTTTTCAGGTTTTGTGTACAAAAACCTGGCTGCATCCACTGTTAGCGAGGGCCTAGTAAAGTCTTTTCATCACCTGCACCAGGTTTAAAGGAAATTAACCAATCTCTCGACAATCGTTTGTGAAAATTCCCATTGTCCACCTTAGAGGTAATTTCTTTCTTTTATCTTGCTCAATCTCCTCTACGTGTTTGGTGCAATAATCTTTCAGGCTGTCATTATTTCAAAAAACAAAAAACCCATCCCCGCAGGGAACCGATCGTTTCTGAGGTTGCTCCGTCTCTCTGTCTTAGCTGCACTGATGCAATATGATTTTAACTTGGGGGATTCTAAGGAGGGGGCCTTTTATCTGGGGAATTGCATGGTAAGTTTAGTTTTGGAACGGCACACAGCCTAATTAACCAAGTCTGCAATCTGCGACGCCTGCAGCTTGAGATTTGGACTTAAAGCTGAGGAGAGGACAGGTAGATTGTTATTTATGTGTTGTACAGTGGTTATTTTGTGTTAATTTGTTACCCCCACACTCATTAAAGAAATCTCATCAAAAAAAAAATAGTGTTGTTGTTTTCGTGTCAGGACCCACAAGATGTCGTTAAAATCTAATTTGAAACCACCTGTCATCTGAATTATTTCATTAATGTTGTGTAAATATGTAACTGGTATGAATATGTGTGTGGCCTTGTGTCCCACTGGAGGACAAAGAGTAGCTAACAACCACAGAATATTACGAGCGGCTGTGTGTCTGAAAATAACAATCGACCCACTTTAGAACAACATTATTATTGTTACCTGTTCTTTAAGTT